CCATGTCGCAAATTGAGTTTTGCGCTGAGAGAATACATGTGGCCACCTGACGACGAGCAGCATGTAACACGATAAGTGTCGTTAAACAGGCGAAACAGTCTATGCGTCATAAAAACGAAAAAAAAGACAGATTTATGGCAGAGTTTCAAAATATAAGATAACCAGTAATCGGCGAGATCACTTTTGAGATGCCCTTCAAAGTACAAAACATAATTAAGATGCATCAAGATCTATTGCATTTATTCTTCATTTATCGTTCTGATTACAAAAAAAAAGTAATCTTTGATCTTAAAATTTCCTTTATGTGAACTATTTGGTAAAAGATTGAGAAGATGAACTGACTAGCTGTATTTATTTCAAGTAAACAATAAAAAACGGCACAAGAGAAATGCGAAATTGTTATGTAAAAAGTAATTCAGTTTACTAAAGACTGACTGAGTCAGTAATGCAATTAGTACTTGTTTTATTCTTTATATTTCAAAAACAATACCATTTGGATAAAATAATTATTCGCTGACCTTGGCAAGTTATTACTGAAAACTGAAAGCACGCCAGGCATTATTATCTAAGTAAAGGAGATATTCCTAATTTAGTTGACTAAGTCTGTTACAGTATGTAAATAGTCTTCTACTTACCAAAAAACCAATGGATTTTTTAACGTGAATATTAATTGCCGGTCGTGTTTAATTTTAACTATTCTTCAATTCAGCATTTATCCACTGCATGAAAGCTGCAGCAATGACTCTTCCCTGAGTAAAAAAAAATCATCTTTTTGTTCCACCGCAAACTCCATTGTTCTCTGCTTCCGTTTTTTTTCTTGCAATTACTGCACTCCAGTCTTATTCATGTAACAGTCGCACTAGAATTGCACCTTAATGCCACGGCCACTTTGATAAGGTGATTCTGCTCCTGCGTTGCACGTTAACCGCACAGAAAATTTACTACTCCATGACAGATGGGTTCACCGCTATCTACATTGAGTTGTTGCAGATAATGCAGTTTTTCTATGGAAAGTTGGGCGAGTCGCCAAGCACACTACAGAAAACCCACATGATTGTACTACGTGTTTGCATAACATACGTGACAACCCAGTTTATAAAGAAAAAGGAAAAATTTCATCTATTTCTAATTTCACGGTCATCGAGAATCTATAACTGCTTCAATCAGCTTGTGTGTACGAAAAACTAGAAAATTTCTAAAGCAGCGACACCAGCAACCACACCATCATCGAGAGCTTACGGAGCGTATTTAAATTAACAGAGAAAAAAAAAAGAACTTCAACTTTTATGCTGCACATGAAGAAAAGCAAGCAAGATGTAGAACGACAGTTTACTTGCGATAATCATCGTCTAAACGGGAATTTGCCAAAACATTGCAAAAAATTTGAACATTACGAGAAAAGTTGTAGCATACAGCAGACAAAATCACAATAAAGCATGTCAAAAGCAAAAAGTTAATGACAAGAAGATTTTTTTAAACAGGATTTCCAACAGTTAGCGCAGAACATAATCCAGAAAATATAAAGCATCAACACTTTCGCAACCTCGCAACAATAAAGAATGAGAAAAGTAGAGCAGCTGAGTGTTTGATCCTGCAAAGTAAAAAACGGTCTTATCCGTTGAACGGAAAATCTTGGTACTAATTGACCTCATTCACGTCTCATTCAGCAGGAAACTCATTTAGGCTGAAGACGCTTCGTGAACCTCGTTCACTTCGCTTGCTTTTTCCTCTTCTTTACTTCTCTTTCACCTGTATTTTAAAGAAGGACAATTGCCGTTTCTTTGGCTCTAAACAAAAAGGAATTTGATCTGCTTTTTCTGAAATCAGCGTAGCCGACCTAGTAAACAGAGGTCGTTTCTTGGAAGAGATAGCAACTAACCGCTTGGAGCGGCGGAACCTTGACTAATCAAGCTTTTCAAGAGAATCTTTTCTAAAGTTTCTTAGTTGCTTGAAATAGACGCTGAACAATATTCAAGTATTAGAGCATGTTATTCAATAAAAAAGATTTATATCTGATATTACTTACTGTTTCAGTTACCATAACATGAAACAAATAATTGCTTATGCAAGAGAGCCTTTAGATTGTGAAATTCAGTATCAATTTTCGAGCTATTTACAAAAAAATAACTTTTTCTGGGTCTCAAAAGTATTCAAAATGACCAGGATAAACAGCATGCAATGGTACAAAAACAAAGCTGAAGGAAACGGGTTACAAAGTGCTACTAAAAGGTTCTGTCTCTACCGTTAAAAATATCTGTGTGTATTACTATAGAAAATAATTTATTTTTTTTCACTTTTATGAACAACCACTTATCTGTACAGACGGAGAAACTGCGCACGACAGGAGATTTTTTTGTCTCTTCAAACAGCAATATAAAAAGATAAAAAAATTTTTTACAGCAAAAACTTTTTACCAAGGCTTAATTTCTCTCACTTTGCCTACTTCATGAAATTTCTTAGTACAAAAAGTATTTACAAAATTATAACAAAAAGCTGAAAAAATTTTATAAAAGACAAAAGAGACAACTACCGAGATTCAGTGACAAATTTTGAAAAAGAAAAAGTGTTTGGTTACCTCAAAAATTCAATCAACTTTCTTTTTATACTGTTATCTGTCTTAATTTGCTGGTTTTGCGTTATAAAGTGCTATTAAAAGGTACTACTAGTAATGTGGCTTTTTGATTAGCTTGTGTTTTTCGTA